GTGCCCGAGGCTGCGCCGCGCGCCCTCGTGGGGCGGCTCGGCGCTCCCCGGCTCCCCAGCTCCCCGGCTCCCCGGCATCCGGACCCTCCGCGCACAAACTCCCGGGTCATCCTGCCCTGGGCGGCGGCCTAGCCTCGCCTCTTTCTGATCTTTTTTAATAAAATCAAGAGCTGCTCATCCCACCCCAACCCCCCAATCCCCGCTTTCAGTGATCGTACCCAGGGAAAGTAAGAAGTGAGGGAAAGCTGGCAGCATTGGCAAGGGCCTGTAATCCCAGCACTGTAGAGAAAATGATAAAAGGCCAGCCTGGGCTACAGCGTGAGACCCTTTCTAATAAGAAGGAAGGGAAAGAGGGATACAGAAGTAGTGCGCAGGCTGGTGAGGTCCTTCAGCGAGGTCTTCATACCAAACACGGAACTAGGGTTAGTGAGGGCGGCAAGTTTCCAGGTAAAGCGCTTTCCTTGGGAGCTTGATGACCTGAAGTGCCATTCTGGGGACCCACATAGTGATAGGAGAGAACCCTCTTCTGTAAATTGTCCTTTGACCTCTTCACGTGGGCCATGTCGCACGCACGCACACATCCGCGCGCGCACACACACACACATGCACAAACACATAAATTTTCTCTTAATGTTTTTCATGCTGTATGTCGAAATACACCTTTAATACCAGCATTCAGGAAGTAGAAGCAGTCCGATCTCTATGAGTTCCAGGCCAGCCTGGTGTACATAGTGAATTCCAGGCCAGCCAAAGATAACATAGTGAAACCCTGTCACAAAAAAAGGAAAGAAAAGAAATGTTAGGATGGAACCAAGCTTTGTATTTTTGTTTTGTTTTTAAGTAAAGGCTTGCCCTTAGATTTGTTTTTAATGTGAAAATTTTTAATTAAAAAAGTCTCACTTGGAAGAGAGCAACACCTTTACCCACTTGACAGTAATGTTCAGATTTAGAAAGTTTTGCAAATTCCAAACAATCAGATAAAGCAGGCTCACTATTGAGGTAGGGAAATGCCTGACTTCCCCTCTGAGAAGGCTGACTGAATGGGATATCCCCTTGACGAATTGATGGGTAGATGGATATCCAACAAATCGCATATAGTTCATTAAGGATAGTCTAAGCGTAGCAGGTATTGTAAAATCCAACTTTTGTGTTGTTTGAAAGGTTTTCATACTAAAAGGAGAAGCGGATGTATCAATAGACTACTTGGCCAATCTCCCCTGCCTATTAGCCGTGAGATTGGAACAAAATGCTCAATAGTCAATTTCCTGTCTGATGTGACCGAATTCTCATAGAAAAAAAAAAGCTTTTCTTGCTCTGCAGGAAGTTTCAGGTCAAGGGCGGCCCCCTAAGAGATGGGAGAGAGAAACACAAGCTAGCTTCTGCCGTGCCAGGCTTGGGCTGTTGGAGACCCTCCACTGTGTTCTGAGGCATGTGACAGATGCATGCAATGACCCTGGAGTCCTTTTACGCATGACCGCGACCCCCATAAGCCCTTCGAGGGCTTCCCCAAAAGTATCCAAAGAACAGCAGCGACCCTATTTGTCACTTTCTTCCAAGAACGCCTGCCACCACTGTGCCCGCCAAACCCATCAGGGCCTGAGAAGCCTCCTGCGTCTAGAAATAATAGCCATATTGCTACTAGAATATCCCACCGTGGACTGTTTGCATTTTGTATCGATTTCTTGGCCCATCTTTTTAATATTTTTAAAAATACTCAGTTTTAGGACCTACATCTATGTAATTTTTTTTCTATGACCAAATGGTTCAACTTGTCATTTAAAAATTAAAAAACAAAAACAAAAACAAAACAAAACAAAAAAAAAAAAAAAACCCAAGCCATTAGGCCCAACAATCAGTCGGCAGAGGCAGTGATTGGGAGGCAAGATCAGGACACCAAGCAGAGGCCACAGAATTTTGCAATATCTCCCAGATGCCTGGAGATGACCACCATGATGCCAGTCTTATTTCAGGAATCGCAGGCCTGACTATGAAGGTGGAAGACACCTGTAGCAAATGAAGGCTTAGCGGGGAGAAGCGGCGGGGTGTGCGATTCTCTTCTAAACCCAAGACACACTCCTGGCGGGCAGCAGGCAGCGGGCGACCGGCTGGTCGAGGGGGCGGGGCCTCGCGTAGACCCGCCCCGGACCTTTGTGACGTAGGACAATGCCTGCCACGCGTCCGAATTCGGTCCTTCACCGAGATCCACCGGCCGGCGGACCGGACCGATGCGCGGTAAGGCTTGCCCTAGGCCTGGGGGTTCTGCTTTGCGAACCATGCTTTTCCTATTCAGACTAGCGGTTTTCCTCAGCCTGTGGGGCTGTTCCAACGGTCAGGGACAAACGGAAGACGAAAGCACGGAGGAAGTGAAAATAGAAGTTTTGCATCGTCCGGAAAACTGCTCCAAAACAAGCAGGAAAGGAGACTTGCTAAATGCCCATTACGACGGCTACTTGGCTAAAGATGGCTCCAAATTCTACTGCAGGTAGGAGATGCCCCGTGCAGTTCAAGTTCAGTCCATACACCGGATCTTGTCACACACACATACACACCAGCCAGAAGCCAATTGATGTAAGGTTTTTCTATTTTTTTTAAAAACAGTAAATTAAGCCATTTATGCCGATTTAGATTAGAAGACAGTCCCTAAAAAAAACTGAATGTTTTCACTGTTGAAAATGTTAGTTCAATGAGACTTAATGGACTGCAGATCTACTACATTATGCGTACTGCTAACTGCCACCACTGTCCCTGGGACCCCTAGAAATAAATCTAGAGGCTGCTTGAAAAGATACTCACACTTTGTTTACCCAGAGCTGAATTCTCTTTCCAAACAGAATGTAATAGTGGCTACCGCATTTTGGTTCCGGTCTTCAGTGGGTCACCTGGTGGAGAGCATCCGTCTGGCTCTCCCATCCCTACTCCGGTCTGATTGAATGCCCTTTCTTTAGCTGGGCTGTCTACCCTCCAGGGATAGGCCTGGACAAAGCGATTCTTTCCGACTTAGAAGAACACTATTCTTGCTGTTTAGAAGAGAAATGTGGCTGGATGCTACTTTCAGTTGCTCTTAAAATGAAATTTCAACCTCAGCCTGCCCCTTCCGTTTTGGGAACAAACCCAGAGAAGTTAAATGCGTTTGGTTCAAGCCCTGCAGCTAGTTAGAGGCTGGAGACCCATTTTAAAAAGTTAACTGTTGGGTAGTTTTTGTAAGACGGCAATAGAACAGAAAATGGAGTGACCGCTAATGATACTTTCTGCCAGTTTGTGGGCCAGTTTGAGACAAACACAGAGTTCTGAAAGAATGCTAACGTGGGAAAAGAGAGTCCAATTTAAACAATAACCAAATGCCTAGCTATATTTAAAAGTCTCCTTCATGACATCAGCTTATTTAAGTACTAAGTATGGTTTCTTATAGCCGGACACAGGATGAAGGCCACCCCAAATGGTTTGTTCTTGGTGTTGGGCATGTCATAAAGGGACTGGACATTGCTATGATGGACATGTGCCCTGGAGAGAAGAGAAAGGTGATCATACCTCCTTCATTTGCATATGGAAAAGAAGGCTATGGTAAGAACCTTTGCCTGCTCGCCTTGTTTAAGCCCTGCCAACTCCACCGATTTGAAATTTCTAATACATAATTAGCAATCAGTTTCCTAAGGGGCGATTTTCAAATTATCACCGTGTCTCACAGAGATGCATCATCTTTGAAGCTGTTGTTTGCGTTTTAAAGAGGTAATCCCCCTTGCTCTGCTTTTCAGCAAGAGAAGGCCACTGTCCCAAGTGAGATCGAGGGAAGCCCGTCTTCGAGCTAGTCAGACCTGACGTTCTAAAAGAGGTGGTTCCAGATAGCTACAGCTTCAAGTTCACTGCTCTCTCTCCACCAATCATTTATTTGCTCCCATCAGAATAGTTCCTGGGACTGGGTGTGTGACAATCAGTGGTAGATGGCCTGCGTAGCATAGGCAAGGCCCTGACTTTGATCCCAGCACTGCACTACAAAAGAAAAAAAAGATTCCCATGGCATCATAATTTGTATATACTGTGTGTGTGTGTGTGTGTGTGTGTGTGTGTGTACATGTGCATGCATGTGGGTGATTTTTTGTATAGGAGCCTGAGAGATAAATTTGAAGATAATTTAAATATAATACTCTCTTCAAAATGTCATGAGTTGGTTACTTCTAGGCAAAAGGACGTAGGTCAAGGTTTGCCTTCTGTCTCTTCCCCCAGTTTATGAGTTGTCTCAACATTCTGCTTACCCTCAGAGCACACACATCCATCTTCAATGGGTACCAGTCCTGGGTCCATTATCCTACAGCAAATGACTACTTTATCCTATACCAAAACTAGTTTATGCTTAGCTAAGAGTGACTACCCAGCTGCCCAAACTATCAACAAACTACACCCTTTCTGTGGGGGAATAGGCATTCTTGCTGACTCTGAGGAGTCTCCAGTAAACATTTAGACAATCTCATTATCACTTTTATTTTACTTATAAGAAAAGTGAGGCCTAAAAAAATAACTACATTGTACTGTAGTTACCTGTGGCCTTACCTGTATTACAGTAGTTTAGATTCCAAGATTTGGGAAATTTAGCAAAATCTTCTTGATTATGTAAGCCTTTGGTTTTTGGTTTTTTGAGACAGGGTTTCTTTGTGTAGCCCTGGCTGTCCTAGCACTCAGTCTGTAGATCAGACTGGCCTTGAACTCACAGAGATCCTCCTGCTTCTGCCTCTTGAGTGCTTGGGATTAAAGGTGTGCACCACCATTACTTGACTATTATGTAAGCTTTTTAAAAATATATTCTTAATTCTTTTCATTGAGAGTTTCATACATGCGCACAGTGTATTTTAATCATATCCACTCCCATGCACACTTTCCCCCAATTCCTCTCATAGCCATGCTTCACTCCCAACTTCATCCTTCTCTCTGTCTCTGTCTGTCTGTCTGTCTGTCTGTCTGTCTCTGTCTCTCTCTGTCTCTCTCTCTCACACACACACATCTCCTACTGGGTCAGATTTGTGTTGTTCCTCTAGTCATGGGTGTGGGGCCATCCACTGGAGTGTGGTCAACCTACCAGGGCCCAGGGCCTAAGAACTGACTCTCCCTCCCTAGAAGCCCTCAGCTGTCAATAGCTCCTGGGGTAGGGGTAAGGGCAGAAATGCTAGCATGTTGACTGGCTTGATCTTTACAGGTCTTCTCGATGAGCGTTAAGTACGTGTTTATTAAAACATAACATTAGTTATAACTTCATTTTAGGTGATGCTTGAAGTTTTTCTTCTGGCAAAATGTCCTTGGCTCATGTCACAGATCACCCCTGCATGTCTTGAAGTGCATGTGGCTCTCTAGTGCTTTAATTAACCGTCTATGTGGTATGTATATATTCTTTACATTAACTCCTACCTCTTCATTCTACCTCTAAAAATATAAATAATTCTATTGCAACGCACATCTATCTCTTTTTTTGGCTTTACTCTTTTTTGTAGAAAAAACTAATTAGCCACATTTTCTGTATTTATTATAGAATTGTTTGGGGACTTTCCATGCATCTGTGGTACTTTTTCTTGGGAAGCCTGAGTTTGGGCTTCGAGGAGTTCAGTGGTGG